ATCGATTTCATCGCGCGCCGGACAAACAAAGGCGTCGCCTGCCGCGCCGGATAAGGAAGGCTACGCCTGCCACGCCAGATTTCCAGGGGATCGACGCTCGCCGCGCGGTGTCTGAAATACCGCTGAGGGATCCACGATGGCGACGCATCATCATTCACCCCATCGATTTCATCGCGCGCCGGACAAACAAAGGCTTCGCCTGCCGCGCGGGATAAGGAAGGCTACGCCTGCCACGCCAGATTTCCAGGGGATCGACGCTCGCCGCGCGGTGTCTGAAATACCGCTACGCCGTTACAAAGTTCGTCACGTTTCATGAGAGCTTGAAGGTGGCATGGGTTTCGTGTCTTCCTTCCGCGTGAGCAAGCGGGCAGAGGCTGACCACTGCCCTGGCCGCGCCGAGCTGGCCCCCCTTTCCCCCTTAGAATCCTAGCGGACTGAGTCAAGAGCGGTCGGATCAAAGATCCGGGATTTCTCAAAGTGGGATTTCATCCCTTACTATAATAGTATAGATTTAACGGGACATTTTGAAATCCCGACGTAAACTCACACGGCTCTAGAAATCCCACCGGGGCGGGATTTGTCTTTGCATATGCAAGATGATCGACTTTTATTTTATGACGAAGCTTTTGTAACGCCGATGTAGTAGTGCGATGTGCACGATGTTGCTTTGAGAAGCCCTCTCGTTTTCTGTTGCCGCCCACAAGCAGCCTCCATCTGCGGCTGCGCGGGCTCAAGCTGAAGACGGGCATGCAGCCGCATGGCCCGGCCAGCGCAGTGGGGGGCCTGATTGCGTTCCTCGTGGGCTTTGCCTCACGGCAGGCACTCGGCCCCGCGCTGGCTCCTGAGCCTGTGCCGCTGTGGCCCCGCCTCGGCCCCGGGCACGAGCTAGAGGACAGCTCGGGGACGTCGTCGACGTCCACGGCGGCGCCCGCCTGCGTGTGCGAGGCGCCGAGCGTGCCGCCCGCTGCGCCGCAGCCCCTCCGGCTGCTGGGCGACGGGCTGGAGGCGACGCTGGAGGTGCCCGTGCTCGGTCTCGGCGTCGGCGCTGCGCTGGCGGCGATCGGAGGCGGGCTGAGCGCCTGGCGGTGGGCTGCTAGCCGCGCCTCAGCGCGCCGGGCTTGCGAGCCACTGCGGGAGACGCGCATCCACGTGGCGTGATGGCGCTGGATGGCGCTACGCCAGGGACACGGGTGCTGGTTCAGTATGCCGAGGACCCGGGCTGGTCGCACGAGCGTATCCTGTGCTGGCCGGCCTCGGAGGACAAGACGTCGTGGGTCATCTACACGGCTAGCAATGACCTGTATACGTCGTCGCTGGACGACTACTCGAGTGTGGTGATCCTCACGGGCCGCCGCCGGTACCCGGCGGGAGTGCGGGACGTGAAGGCCTTCAGCCGAGAGTTGCAGCCGGACGAGATCCTGACGTTGGTGCGGCGCGGCCGCGGCGAGGCCGTGCTGGAGAGCGGAGCTGGGGCGGCCGACTGGTGGCTGGTCGCGGGCCAGGACTGGGAGGGGCGGCGCCTAGTGATCCCGCCGTTGGCGGCGGTCGAAGTGCCGCGAGTCCGTCGCAGGCGCCTTCGAGGCAAGACCGCCGCCGACGCGGCTGGCGCCGAGCCCGTGGTGCTGCCCATCGTCGACGAGGGTGAGGCAGCCCCCCCGCCGCCCGTCGAGCGGCCGCCTGGCGCGTGGCTGGCTGCCACGCTCGAGGATGCTGGCGGCTTCGGCAAGCAGGTCGAGCCTAGCGCGGCCGCGGTGCTGAGGGGTAAGTACGGCATCGACCGCGATGAGGCTGGTGACTGGTTCCCGATCGAGTACGTCCCCGATGAGAGCATCGCGACGTGGAAGGACGGCAAGGTAGTGGCCGCCGACTGCTTGAGGCCGCCACGCGGCCGCCTGGACGACAGGCTGTTCTCAGGAGCGACGGGCACTCGGACGCCTCCCGGCGAGCCGGAGGCCCACGAAGCCCAGGGCGATCGTCGCGACGACGCCGAGGTGCCCGAGGACCTCCGAACCTGCTGGATCGACGTGGACGAGACTGGGGCCCGCTTCAAGGAGTGGCGCAAGGTCGTGCAGGAGAGCACGCAGGAGGTGTTCACGGATTCATCCATTCGGGGCCCCCCCGCATGCCTGGAGGTGTGCCGCAAGATGTATCGCCACGGGGGGACCCCAAAGCTTTGGTTCCAGGAGTGGTGCAAGGAGTCGGGCGCTTCTCGGCGAGATCGCGCGTATCACGAGATGCAGACCCTCATAGAGTGCCTGTACCTCGCAGGCACCTACGATCAGGTAAATATGGGGGCGCTGGCGTCGCTGGAGGTGATCGCCAGGAGGCTGCTGCAGTGCGCAGAGGCGTGCGCGCACGGGGCGGAGTAGGCCAACTGGGGCGCGGCGAAGCACCTGGCCGGGACGACGAACCCGTTGGACCTCGTGCCGGACGCGCTGAGGAGCTACGCCAGCCGCCTCTCGAAGGAGGAGTACGAGCTGGAGGCGCTGCGGGCCCGCGCGAAGGCCCCGGGCGTCACGCCTGCGGAGGCCTCGCGGGCGGCGGCGACGGCGGTGGCCGCTGGCGGGCTGTCGGCGGCCGGGGGCTCCCCAGAGGGTGACGGCGGCGGCGGCGCTGGTGGCGGCGGCCGCGGCCGCGGCGGCAGGAAGGGCGGGCGTGGCCGCGGGGCCCGCCCGCCGGCCACATGACGCGCTCGGCAGGGAGGCACGGGAGCCCGACCGTGCCTCCAAGGCGAGAGGGCAACCAGGGGCTGCAGGGCTCTTCCTTTCTTCCTGTGGCCCCGCTTGCGGCTTTGCCGGAGCACTGGTGCGAAGGCCTCGGCAGGTCTCAGCAGCGCCGCTGGCTCCGCGACGGCAACGCAGCCTGTCGCAGCTTGAATTACTTGCATGGTGGCGCTCATCGAGCTGGCCGCTCTCCGCAGGGGGGGGTCAGCCGCGCGAAGATGGACGCCATGCGTGCGGATGTGCAGCAGCGCGTCTTTGCGGCGGCTCGTCGCTGGATTGACGTTGACAGCGCCATCGCAGAGGAGGAGGCCCTCGCCAGGCTTCTGAAGGGCAAGGCGGGATACGCCCCGCTTAGCTCCACCAGCATGGGCTCCTACGAGAACTCGCGGGTCAGCTTGCCGGACAGTGTCAAGGATGCTCCAGGCCTGGCTAGCATGCTACCCGCGCAGGCGAGGCTCTACCTCGAGGAGTTTGCCACCAGGATGCTGCTGCCGCCCAAGGAAGCAGCCCTAATCCAAGAGATCCACGGACTCCCCGGGTGTCATACTGACCCTCTGCTGCTCCAGCGACCTCGGAGCTATGGGAAGCTCGTCAGGCGCGCGCTATCAGTCGGCCTCGTCACCCTGACGCGCCGACCTCAGAGTGTGCTTGGCTTGTTTTGTGTGAAGAAGAAAGATGGAGCTCGCCTTCGGCTCATCGTCGACTGCAGGCGCAGCAACGCGCTGTTCCGCCCGCCACCGGGCGTCGATTTGCTGTCGGGCGAGGGGCTCGGCCGCATCGAGATGCCTCTGCTTGGAGGACAGCGACCTGTCCGAGCTGCGCGCAGTGCTGGGCGTTGGCGACGTCGCCGACTGCTTCCACAGGATGAAGCTGGAGGGCGACATCAGGCGTTATTTTTGCTGGCCGCCCCTGGGCGCTGCCTTGACTGGAGAGACGCTGGTGGAGGGCTCCCCTGTGACAAAGGGCGAGCGGGTCTGGCCGATGAGCCAGAGCCTCCCGATGGGTTTCTCGTGGTCGCTATTCTTCGCCCAGGCCGCCAATCAGTCTCGGCTGGATCGACAGCCATCCCTGATCGATAGCGTGCGCCGGAGCGATCGCGGGCCTCCGCTGGTGCTGTCGCCTGGAGAGGTTTGCAGCACTGGCCACTTCATGTACGTGGACAACGCTGGCATCATCGGCCTCGACGAGGGCCGCGTGGCGGCAGCCTTGAGTGAGGCGCAGGTGGACTTCGAGAGCGATCAGCTGAAGTTTCACGAGGTGGAGGTCCTGCCTGGGGGCGGCCGCTCGCTTGGCTGCTTCGTGGACGGGACTCGGCTGGCTACGCGACCCACGGATGAGAGGTTCGCCACCGTCCGCAAGGGGCTCAGGTGCTTGCTACGGCGCCGCCGGGTCGCAGGCTGGCAACTGGAGATGGCGTTAGGCCACATGACGTTTATGGCCTTGGTTCGCCGCGAAGTTTTGTCCATATTCCATTCGGTGTATGCCTTCGTAGCGCAAAGTTACCACACCTACTCCGTGCTGTGGCCGACGGCCAGGGAGGAGCTCGAGAGCTACCTAGGCATCATGGTGATGCTCGAGTCGTGCTGGACCAGGGAGTGGATGCCAGTGGTCTACTCGTCCGATGCCAGTCTTTACGGCTTCGGGGTCGCGGAGGCCAGTTTCGACCCCGCGGAGGTGGCGGAGATCGGCAGGGCGTCGGAGCTGTCGCGCTGGCGGCTCGGCGCAGGGCTTGCACGGCAGCATGCCTTCGAGTGCGCGGGCTTCTTGCTGGACAGCAGCACGGGCGAGGTCGCCCGTGATCCTGGCGGCGCGCCTGTGCAGCTGGGCGCCGACCTCTGGCGCGTGCTGGACAGCGAGCGCTGGGAGTGCGATCCGAGTTCCCCAGAGGTGCCCAGCTCGCTCCTCCATGACTCCCACTGGGCCACGGTGATGGCAGACAGGTGGGTGTTTGGTGATGATATCCTTCGTCTTGAGGCTCGGGCGCTCGTGAAGGCAGCGTCTCGAGCTGCGCACTGTCAGCCAGTAAAAGAATGTCGCGCTCTTTTGTTAGGAGACAACCTCGCAGTTGTTATGTGTTTTTGTCGTTTCAGTCCAGGGATTTTCGGCTTCTAATTCAGGTCCGTCGCTTCGCTGCGCTCTGTTGGGCTCGAGATAGCAAGTTTGTTGTGAGATGGATTCCGAGCGAGTTCAATTCTGGAGATGCTGGCAGTCGCAAGTTCGATCCCAGTTACGATCAAGGGAAGACGCTTGTGTCTCATTTTGGCTCAAATCGGGTTGAGGCCCTAGCCGTTGTTGGGCCGTGTGATGCCACCGACGCGGCCCCCCGCAGTGCCGGGCAGCGCGCGTCGGAGGGCTCTCTCGCGGGAGCCGGCTGCTGCCCTGCCCGCGGCCTCGCCGACCAAGAGGCGGGCGCGGACTCTAGGCGCAGGGTCGAGGCCGTCGCTGATCGGCGCTCCGCCAGCTCGGAGAGCGAGGACGCTGGACCCCCGGCACGGGTTGAACGCGAGGCTCGTGGTCCACCCTTCGGCCGTGCCAGCCCGAGCGGGAACGCTGCAGGACCTGCTGGACGCGGAGCCGAACCGCCAGCTGCCAGGCCGGGGTGGCGGGCGCGGCCCCGAGGCTGCCGAGGACGCGGCCAGTGCGAGTGGAGAGAGCAGCGACGTCGAGGAGCCCAAGGCGGTCTCAGCCTGCGTGCGACGCCTCGAGAGCCGGGGCAAGGCGCGGGTTCGGAAGGCCATGGGCGAGCTGGACGGCGAGCAGGGGGCGGCTGGAGGCAGCAAGCTGGCCATCAGCTACCTGGAGCGCCGGTCGGTGCGGAAGGCTACGGTGGAGACCTACCGCCAGTGCGTCCTCGTCTTCTGCGTCTGGGCCCACTGCTCGATCGAGTGTCTCCCTCTGCCCGGCGAGCTGGACGCGCCGCTGGTCGAGTGCATGAACTTGGAGCCCCTGAAGGGAGTGAAGTCGTGGCGGGGGGAGAAGCTGTTAGCAGGCATCGTGTTCTTCCACCCGGACCACGGCCGCCTGGGAGGTTTATACTTGCCTCGCTCCCTCCGCTGCCTGAAAGGTTGGAAGAAGCTGCCATCATCTCGCTCGAGGAAGCCCTTGGTGTTTGCGATCTGGGCCGCGCTGGCAGTGGAGTTGTGCCGTCTGGGAGCGCCGCTGCTAGGGGCGCTCGTCCTGGTGATGGTGGAGTGCTACCTGCGGTCCGGGGAGATGCTAGGCCTCACGAGCGGCTCTTTCCTGGCCCCGAGCGAGCATGCAGCGCAGAACTGGGCGGTGTGGCTGTTCCCAGAGTCGGGGGCGGCTCGGAGCAAGGTGGGGTCGGCAGACGACGCGATACCTTGCGATTCGGGACGGTGCCCTTGGACGAGCCACATTTTCAGAGCTTTGAAGGATCGTCGTTCGTCCCAGCCCCTCCTGGGCTTGAGCTACCCTCAGTTCCTGGGCCTCTTCCGCAAGGCTGCTCTGAACATCGGAGTGAATGCCGTTCCCTACCAAGGCCGGCACAGCGGGGCTTCGCTGGACCGTGCCACCAATCGGCTATCACAGGAGGAGGTCCAGAAGAGGGGAAGGTGGGCGGCGATGACGTCAGTAAAGCGATACGAAAAGTCAGGAAGGCTAAACGAGAGCCGGGAGTGCCTGTCCGACGAGACAAAGGCACACTGCGTGACGGCCTCGAGGCAGCTCGAGGATGTGCTGCTACTGGGCCGCGCTGCTGCCATCCCACCCTTTGCCGGCCGAGCAAGCTCCGGCCTGGGGCCGTCAGCCGGCAGTTGAGTAGGCAGCAGGTGCCCTACGTGCTGGATTCGTTCTCTGGCAGTGGCGGTGTCGCCAGGTATGCACGACGTCTTGGTCTTCAGGCCGTGAATTTGGATCTTCGGAACGGTGCTGATCAGAATGTATGTTGCCTTGCAAATCTGAAACTGATTGAGAGACACTTCAAAGAAGGCTTGGTTCGAGCTGTCATGCTGGCGCCCCCGTGTTCGTCGTTCTCGTTGGCTCGTAATCGGTATCCTGTCAGAAGCGCGGGGCACCCCGAGGGGCTTCCAGGGCTTTCTGGCCATCACATAGAAGCGGTTGAGCTTGGCAACTTGTGCCTCCAGGTTTCAGCATACATCATTGGTCCCTGCCTTCGCTACCATGTCCCATATGCGCTTGAGAATCCTTTGACATCGTATATGTGGCGTTCTAGAGTCATGCGGGAAAATATACTTCCTTTCTCACGAGCGTTGGATTTGCATCAGTGTTCCTTCGGCTCCAGGTGGCGGAAAGCCACGAGAGTAATTTTCGGTTGCGTCACGGCTTCTGGGGACCTTTGTCTAACAAATCGTGGTCGTCTGCTCTGTCACGGAAAACATGGGTACTGTTCGTTTCGACCTGGCCGCAAACATGTTGTGCTCGAAGGAAAGAGTATGACCAGCCGTGCTGCTCAGTATCCTTTTCGTCTTGCATCTTTGCCTTGTCGTATGCTGACAAACATTTGAGCTGCAATGTCAAACGAGTCTTACCGCTACGCTGTGAACTTCGATTTTGCGAATCGTATGGAAGTCTCGACAGCCATGCATGACTGATCTCTCATTACCTGTGTGTGGCCCCACATGGTAACATAACTTACCACCAAACAGAAGGGCCTCATGAGCATAGTAGTGCGATGTGCGCGATGTTGCTTTGAGAAGCCCTCTCGTTTTCTGTTGCCGCCCACAAGCAGCCTCCCTCTGCGGCTGCGCGGGCTCAAGCTGCCCACCCTCGGCCACCCTGGACCTTGTTAACATAGTGCACGTCTTACGCCTGTGCTCTGTCAGAAGTCTCGACAGCCATGCATGACTGATCTCTCATTACCTGTGTGTGGCCCCACATGGTAACAGAACTTACCACCAAAAAGAAGGGCCTCATGAGCAGGTTCGTGGTCCCCTCTTGGGGCTGTCTTGGGGCTCTCTTGGGCCGCTTTGGGCGCCTCTTGGGGCCGTCTTGGGGCCCTTTTGGGCCGTGTTGCGGGCCTCTTGGGAGCCTTTTGGACCGTCTTGGGGCGGTTTGGGGCGCCTCTTGGGCCGTCGTCAACGCCGTGAAAGCCCAAAAGCCGCAGATGCTAAACATGTATGTTCTCTTGCACGAAATCAGTGATTCCTGCATCCTGGGGCCTTTTGGGGGGCCTCTTGGGGGCCTCTTGGGGGCGTCTTGGGGCCTCCTGGGAGCTTCTTGAGGCGAATGGCTAGACTTGTCGGTTCGTGGTCCCCCTCTTGGGCCGCTTTGGGGGCCTCTTGGGAGCCTCTTGGGCCGTCCTGGGGCGGTTTTGGGGCGCCTCTTGGGCCGTCGTCGACGCCGTAGAGGCCGAAAAGTCGCGTATGCTCAACATGTACGTTGCCCATTGAAAATCAATGTTTTTGGCCTCTTGGAGCCCTCTTGGGTCGCCCATTGGGCGCCTCTTGGGGCGTCTTGGAGGCCCCTTGGGCCGTCTTGGGCGGTCTTGGGCTCTCTTAGAGCGCTCTTGGGCCGTCTTGGAGGTATCTTGGGCCGTCTTGAACCCCTCTTGGACCGTCTTGAGCGCCCAGGACGGCCCAAGAAGCGCCCAAGAGGCCTCGAAGACGCCCCGAGCGGCCATTAACACTCATCCCTCCGGCCCTCCCCCCTCCCCTGGACCCCTCCCTGGAGGGCTTCGCCCAAACACAACGTCATCACTCGTACCTCGCTCTTTCCGTTACCTCCGATGGCCCAAAAAGGGCCAACGCGTACTAACTCGACCTTAGACCTCGGCGACTAGACCTCGGCGAGTACGATCGGGATTTTTTGCTTAGCGTGTCCCGGCGGCGGCCCTGGCGACACGCGTGCTATGCGAGCGGATAGCGCGTCGCTCTGCTCCACGGGGTGGGAAGTGGATAGCGTGTCGCGCCGAAGCGCGGTTGGCCATAATTGGCGGTGATCTAACAGTTCCCGACTGTATGTGTAGTTGGCATCTGGCTTGATCAATATCTTTGTGCTTTTGCCGTGGAGAATCAAATCAAAACTTGTTGTCGGCCATTATATTATGGGGTCTTTTGTTACTCGTGGGTCTACTCTAAGCGATAAGGCCCTTGTCGGTACCATGTCCTACCTCAATATGCACCCCAACGTCGTCCTTACCCTTGCTGGCGGCGAGAGAGATGGTCACAACATGTCATCGGATACGTTGGCTCGGTATCTACCCGCGCAGTTTTGTCTTCATCTTCGATTTTCGCGTCTGGGAATCGAGGGGACAGCGCCGATTGAGCGTCGATTTAACGCCGATGTGAAGTCGATTGACGTCGATTAGCGTCGATGATGATGATGCAGATGCAGATGCTGATGCTGACGCTGATGATGTGGATGATGATGCTGATGATGCTGATGATGATGCTGATGATGATGAATTCGTTGTTGATGTTGATGGTGATGATGATGCTGATGTAGATGCTGATGCTGATGCTGATGAAGTTGTTGATGATGATGATGATGGTGATGATGATGATGATGATGATGATGATGATGATGATGATGATGATGATGATGCTGATGTTGCCATCCAAAAGCTCCCGACCCGCACGCCTGGGGGGCCGAGCCCCTCCAGGCCCCGCCAGCCTCCCCGTGCTCCGCCGCCGGCGCCGCCCGCGCGGGGCGCGGCGCCCCGCTCCAGCAGGTGCTTCTCCCATGGGGGGCCGCCGCCGCCGCCGCCTCGGGCCAGTGCAGACGTGGGGCCCTGAGGAGGGGGAGGGGGGAGGAGGAGGAGGAGGAGGAGGAGGAGGAGGAGGAGGAGGAGGAGGAGGAGGAGGAGGAGGAGGAGGGAGGAGGAGGAGGAGGAGGAGGAGGAGGAGGGGAGGAGGAGGAGGAGGAGGAGGGAGGAGGAGGAGGAGGAGGAGGAGGAGGAGGAGGAGGAAGAGGAAGAGGAGGAGGATGAAGGGGGAGGAGGTGAAGCTCAATATTTCGTTGTATCGTGCAGCTCGGTACTTTTGCATAAGCCAGGCCGTGGTGCCGCCGCTAAAAGTTTTGCAGACCATTCTTCCTGGCGATGGCTGGGCCACTTGCGTGCTGAAGCTGATTGCACGGTCGTCCCAACCATTGTTGTCGATGACCTCCTCCCACACCGCATTGGGTCTAGTGGTCGTGTGACGCGGGAGTTGGTACAGGCGGCTCGAGATCTGAAGAAGGCGCTCGAAGCAGTGGATCTTCAGGTGCATGAGTCAAAGTCTCGTGTGTTGTGCAATGACTGTGGCGTTCGTGAAGACATTGCGCGCCGACTGTGTAAGAGTGTGTGTGTGTGTGTGCCAAGCCTGCAGCGCATGACGCGATCTCGGCATCGATTTCGCATGTGGTCGGCGTATAGGGCATGCGGTGCGGCGCTCGCGTGTCACAGGTGCCCGGCAGAGGTTGCGCCGTATAGGACTCATCAGATGCGGAGCTAAGAAGCGTATAGCGACCAAAAAGGTCGCAAGAACGGGGCTACAGGCGAGCATGAGTTTTTCCCCAATCAGTGCTTGCACTGAAGGGGTCCTCGCGGATGTTGCTAGAGTTGGCACAAGTGCCTCGCCGATTTAGGTGGCACGCTGGGTTCCCAGTTCCGGGTTCCCGGGTTCCCAGGTTCTTGGTCATTGGTTCCAGGCCGATGGTTCACTACCGATCTCACTGTCGAGTTCATTACGGATCTCATTGGTTCCCCGGTTCCCGGCTCCGGGTTCCCGGGTTCTTGATCATTGGTTCCGGGCCGATGGTTAACCGTCGATCTCATTACCGATCTCACTGTCGAGTTCATTACGGATCTCATTCCATGTTGAACGATTTGGCGAGATTGCCCGGCCGATTTTGGTAGCACGTTGGGTTTCCGGGTTCCCAGTTCCGGGTTCCTGGGTTCCCGGTCATTGGTTCTGGGCCGATGGTTAGCTATCGATCGCATTACCTATCTCATTGTCGAGTTCATTACGGGTCTCATTCAGCCGACCCAAAGTATTGGTCCCACTACCGATCTCAATATTAAAAGACCGTCCCCTTTATCGATCTCACAATCGATCCTACAACCAAAGTATCTGTTTCACTATCGATCTCAATATCGACATATCGTCCCCATTATCGATCTCACAATCGGTCCCACGATCGATCTCGCGATCGAATTTACTATCGATCTCACCACCGATCTCACGGTCGATTTCATTACGGATTTCACTCAATCGACCTGAGTATCGGTCTCACTATCGATCTCAATATCGACAGATCGTACCCACTATCGATCTTACAATCGATCCCACGATCGATCTTGCGATTGAACTTACGATCGATCTCACTACCGATCTCACTGTCGATCCCACGATTCCTGTTACGATTCAGTTTTTGTTAACCTCAACGATTCAATATCGATCTCATGATCGATCTCACTATTCCCCAATCAGTGCTTGCACTGAAGGGGTCCTCGCGGATGTTGAAGGATTTGGCGAAAGTGCCCCGCCATTTTGGTTGCACGCTGGGTTCCCGGGTTTCCGGGTTCCGGGTTCCGGGTTCCGGGCCGATTTCGGAGTGCGGCGAGGTTGCCGGGTTCCCGGGTTCCTGGTCGATCTTCTTATCGATCGGTCTCACTATCGATCTCAATACCGACTTCTCGATCGATCTCACCATCGATCTCACAATCGATCTCACTATTAATATCTCAAGCGATCTCACTAGAGATCGCATTCGCGATCTCGCGATCGATCTCACTATCAATTTCATTGAATCGATTTCACTCTCGGTCTCACGATCGACCTTACAATCGTCCTCACTATCGATTCCGCTATCGATCTCATTATCGATCTCACAATCGATCTCAAGATCTATAGTATCAATTTTCAAATGATCCACTGACTGGGTTTTCTCAGGTGTAATGTAATGAACGTGACGGGATGTTCGACTTCAGACCTAGAGGTGACTCGCAGCACAGTTTTTGCAGCGCTTGTATGCACAACAGCGGGCAAATCGAGAACGCGCTCGCTCATGTGTGAGAAGTATGCTGATCCAATGTTTCGTGCCACATGCATGCCTGTGCTCACTCTCTGTCGAGCGATGTGGGAGGGGTGGGTTCCGAGGCACGTGGTGCGGGACGGGTTGGAGGGAGCTGCGAAGGTCACGCTTTGGACTCAGGTGGTCGGCCTGTTTGGGGCTTGCCGCTTGTCCCTAGCGCGTATCGGTTGGACAGTTGGTTCGCCTTTTGAGTGGGCCACTCACGACGGAGTTGTACTGGATGTAGCGTCTGTGTGCCCGCGAGTCGTTCGCAAGCACCTTTTTCGGGCTGTTGAGGTCTGTCAGTGGAAGCATGTTGCTTAGCATGACGCTATGAAGCATCTCGAGCAGGGGGCGGTCTGGTCTCCTCTGGCTCAGGCGATTTCCAGCGGTAGGGCCGAAGCGCGCGGCTGCCTCCGTTCGTGTCATTGATGGGCACTGGCCCATGGCGCGAAAGTTTGCAGCGAACCTTGCGCCGAGCAGTGCCTGTCTGATTTGCGGGCGTCCAGGGACGCTTCTTCACAGGCACTTCGAATGTGAGTTTGCGCTCGAGATTCCGTTTCATGATGCTTTCGGTTCGTTGATCTTGGCCCAGGACCGCCCCCAAGTCCAGCTGCTCTTGGAGAGGGCCTTGTGGCCTCTGCACAGGAGCAGGAGTGAATGGAGACCCCCTGGCCAGGACGCGATCGTTTGGAATAAACATGAGGGTCCAGGTGTGATATTGGCGCGTGAAGCCTTTCCTGGATGGTTCCGCCTGCGAGTTCCGGTGGGGGAGCCTCACGTGCACGGCGTGGGCGGTGACCGCGCTAACACCAGAGGAGCCGCTGGATGTACAGGACATTGTCTTTTGTACGTGTTCACAGGCTGTGTTCGATATCGACGGAGCTGAATTAGAGTCCTTGATCTTTCTGCTGCAGAACTCGGTGCCCCCGATTTGCGCGGCTACTGATTCTGATTTTGCTTTTTGTGGAGTGATTGACAGAGGTCCCGACGCCACCACGGCCCATTCGTCGGCCTGGGCGTGCAGGTGGCGGGTCCTCTGGCGGGTCCTGGACGAGTTCGGAGGCTTCTGTGAGGCTGGTTTGTCGATCCGCAAAGTGAGGAGTCACAGCGCGATGGCTGACGTAGCTGCTGGTCGCATCAGCAGACGTGATCGATTTGGAAGTTATCGGGCCGACCTGTGGGCCAAGCGTGTGTGTCAGCGCGCTCGCGCACCTGTTCCAGACAGGCGCAGGATGCAGCAGGCTGAGCACTTAGTTGAACGGGTGTGTTTTAGGATCGGGAAGGTGGGTGCGCATGAGGACGCGCGCGACACCACACACGTTGCGCGTCGCGTACGTGCTTTGAACGCTGTGTCGCAGTTGCGCGTCGTGCACCCACGCCCCACGCACAATTTTGTTTGGCCTCCCTCCCCTCGGCGCTGGTACACAATCTGTCGGCTCGTGGCCCCCGCCTAATCGGTCTGTGGTGTTTCGATCGCAGCGAAAGCGGCGGATGCCAATCGCCAGATAGGTGCGCAAGGCGGATGTCACGTTTGAAGTGGAGCCCGAGCTGCTGGAGGCCGCCCGCCCTGTCGTCGGTTGTCAGTTGTGCGGGGCCGATAGCGCGAGGCAGCTCAAACGGTTTCTCGTTCCTTGAGGGCCCCGAGGGACCCACGGTTTGAAGGCTGACAAGAGGATGGTCGATGGTTTTCTCCCTGGGGTTTTGGAACGAGCTATCCCGTGCCAAATGGTGGCGTTAGAGTGATGACTGTTGGATTGTGTGGCTCTCAGAGGGAGGCTCCACTGCTTCGGGAAGAAGAGGAGGATGTGGAGGAGGAGGAGGAGGATGTGGAGGAGGAGGAGGAGGAGGAGGAGGGGGAGGTGAAGGAGGAGGAGGAAGGGGGAGGAGGAGGACGGAGGGCTTTTTGTCAGTATGTGTTTCAGACCAGTGCTTGTCTCTCACGCTTGCTTCCGCAACCGTTTGTGGATCGAGGGATGTTCCGCGAGCGCAGGGTGCCGGACAAACCTGTCATCGTCCAGAGGCCTTGGAGGCCGTGGTTTAACTATGCATTGGTAGCGTGAACGAAAAGCTCACAGCGAAAGAATCTTGGCGCACATTCGCATTGTGTTACGTGCCAGGAAGCACTGACAGACGACAGACCAGCTCATGAGCATAAGTGCTGACAGCACCACGGACTAGATGGGGCTTCGGGTCCACGCGGGTGACGGCGGTCGATCAGAGCAGTCATCAGGAGTTCAAGGAATGGACCCAGTGGGCCAAGTCCGCAATGGGCTGCCGCAAGTTGGAGGCGAATCATCAAGGGCCCTTCATCCACGCGCTGCTGCAAGGCTCGGCTTTGGAGATCGATTGTCATTTGGAGTTGGAGGACTGTGAGCGAGAAGGCGGCGAGTCGACGCTGCACGGACGACGCCATGGAGCCGGAGGACGTTTTGGGCGAGCACTTGGAAACGGCCTTCGCGTTGCAGGGGCACGAGGGCGAAGCTGTGACGACGTGGCTCGGACGAACCAAAGAAGTGTTCCAGAAGTGCGCGGCCCAAGCGAACGTCGAGTTTCCGACGGAGGCTCAGGCGTGGGCGCGTTGCTTCGCAGATGTGGTTTCACGCCCGACCAGCGGGCAAACGTGAAGGCGAAAGCGGCTGGCTACACAGCGGATGAGGTGGAAACGGCAATCCGTGCGGTTTTCCAGACGTTCGAGGCCCCGAAGCCCAGTCGCGCCGAGTGTGGCGTGATGGTGGCATACCAGGCAGGTGACGATGACGAAGGTTGGATCAACGAGTTCGACGGGCTAGTGTCCTCAAGTCGACCGGCTCCTGATGTCGACTACAGCGACATAGAGTCCCGGAGTTTCCACAAGGCCGACAAGCGGCAGACCGCGTTTCTGCGAGAGTTCGATGACGCCAAGAAGACGAGGTGCCACAATTACAAGGAGGTAGAAAATAGGCAACGGCAAAGGTCACGGCAAGTTCAGACCGCGCACGACTGGTGCTGGCGCTGCGTTCGTCGCGTTTGACGGATCGGGCGCACACGAAGCGAGTTTGGCCACGATGTCACAGCAACTTCGAGACCGACGCGATGCCTTGACAGCCCAGGGCGCAATCGAGACGGAGATTGATACACCGCAGTGCGAAGTCTTGCTTGTGTTCCCGGTGGGCAAGGGGGTTGTGGACCCCGGATGCGGACGCAATCTCATCGGCGAACACTCGCGGGCGCCAAGCTGAACCCCCCACGGGCGCGACGTTCTCAGGTTCGGCAACGGCGGCCGTGCGGGGGCCGGCGTCCAGGGTTTCATCGCAGCGGCCATCGTGAAAGGTGTCGTGTTGCTCCTCCTCGGCAGGCCATTGCTGAAGGCCCTGCAAGGCGAGATGGACTTCACCGACAGCCGCGTCAAGTTTAACATTCAGGACCGGACCGTCGACCTGGAGGAGACCGAGTCGGGGGACTACGCCATGGACATTCTGGATTATTGCGAAAATGCTGCCTGCTACACCGACAAGCTCCAGAACATGCCCGACCAGCTGCAGGTCTCGGATGAGACTCTGGGGATCGAAGAGCAGGCCCCAGTCAGCGACGAGTCAGCATCCCAAACCGTCTCTGACCAGACCTACGAGGGCCCGGTAGGTTCCGACACGATGCAGGCTTCACGGGATTCAGTCCTCAAGCGTCGGTCCAAGCGTGTTCTTCGAGATTAGATCCAGGACATTTTGGGCCCCCCACGGAGAACGCCCGATGGCGCGCAGCAGAGATTTCCTTTCTACCCAGGGTCGTGAAACGCTCCGAGGAGACCAACGTGCTGACAGGATATAACTTGGGAGATCGTCAAGTTCAACATCAGGTTTCCAGCGAACTGAAACTTTCCGACCCCGTGTGCTGGTCGCTTGTCCTCCCTGTACATGGCGCGGCGGTTCCTGCCACGGTGAATGCCACTGACGTCAGCGTGACCGAGCGCATGCACATTGCGCGCCTAGCACGCGCACGCATGCGGTGCAGCATGCAGGAGGCGCACGCGCAGCTCGACCGATGCGACGACGCGATCTTCGAACATCCTCATCGGTCGATCGCGTGGAAGATGCCCTAAAGGAAACGACTCGCGACGCGCGCGATAGTGGTCCGCGCGGATGCGTGCGCGCGTGGTTGAGGAGAGCCGCGTGGAACGCGTCTCATGCAGAAGCGCGCGCGCTGCTACCTTCGCCGCGACTGGCCATGCTCGCCGGCAAACTGCGTCCGGGGAGCCGCGAGCACGCGACGATCGAAGGAGGAATCCAAGGGTGCGTCTTGGGCACAGTGGGCTGGCATCTACGCCGAAGATTTCGAAGCGATTCTCCGTGGCGCCGACGACCTCGCGCAGTCCTGGGCAGCGCGTGAGGATCAGTCTCCGAGCCGCCAAGAAAAACTTGACTCGTTGCCGCTGGAGTCTAGTTTCCACGAGCCCGCCGAGCGAGAGAAGTTGCAGCTGCTGGAAGCCCAGCTGCGGCAGCGCTGCCTCGCCGCAGGTCCGGGGGGCAATGCGACCGGGCAAGACGCGCCAGAGTCAGCGCAGACGCTCCGTCCGATTGCGAATGCCCGAAACATTCGAAACGCGTCCAAGATGCCTCATGACAACCTGTGCCACGCGGCCCCTCGGGAGATGTCGCGAAGCCTGAGGCGCGGAGGTGGGCGCGACGAGGCGATCAGATTATCGCGAGGTTTCCAATGCGATATCTGAGACGTAACCAAAATGCCGGAACCGCTGGGGTTGCCTGGTTTCACCGCATCCTGGAGCTCAACAAACAGCTGGGCATGGACGGCGTGAGTCTTCCTGGCTGGAAGGGCCCCAAACATGTGGTTCTTCCTTCTTATATGGGTGACGATGCGTCGTCTTTTCGCATAGTGGCGCCCTTTCTGCGGGGGGGGACTTCAGCTGCCATCGGGGATGGCAGCCGACAGGGCCGGGGGCCTTCGGCCGGCTCGGCCGACGCAATTGTAGTGGGCGCGGGGGAGGCTGACATCGGAGCGGCGTTGACTGCCCCCCTAGATCTAGTAGACGCGGAGATAGCGCCAGTAGTGGGGGAACGGGGCAGTGGCAGAACGGAAAGACGGAAGCAGGCGGGGGACGGTGGAAACGGCATTTCGAGCTATTGTCGGAGGCAGTCCAGCCCAAAGGTTTGAAGAGTGGATTGAGTGTGTCGATGCCGCGACTGATGCCGAGCAGCGAATGCCGCGCGTGGATGGCTACTCGCCTAGCCAGCGCGCGCTCGGTCAGGAACCTTGTTTGCCTGGGGATATGTTGCAGGATGCGGTAGATGTGGTCAGTGTGTCGGGCCGATTGTGCGACGGCGCGTTTGCGCGAGCTCGCGAGATGCGACAGCTGGCCATGCGGGGGTTGCTGCGGGCTCGGGGCGACCAGGGCTGGCGTCGCGCCGTGGCGGGCCCAGAGCCGAGTCGCGCGCCCTTTTCAGCCTGGGGGCAAGGTGGCGCGCTGAAGGAAGGGCAAGAATGGGCGCGCTGGGTTGCACGGACGGGGGATCTTCGTCGGGCGACAAGGAAGGAGTTGGCGGTTATCACGTCGGGGATATCTTATCCGGGCTGACCCGTCTCAGTTGGGGCCCGCGACGACGAGCGAGGCTCGAGCGGGTCAACTTGTGGGGCAAGTGCTGCAGGGCGAGCGCCAGCGCCTGAGCGCTGTCGGCGTACGCCTGCATTTTCTGGATTTGACAAAGCAAGAGTTCCCCCCCCCCTGCCTCCAGGCGTTCAACCCCGAGCCTCGACAGAGGAGACCTCCGCGGAATCCAGGGAGAACCCCAACGACCAGCGGGGACCCATGTCTTCGGACGCAGGACCTCAACTGGCACCAGGACCAGCCGTGCCCCGAGAGTCTTGCCAGCCCCCAGGGGCCCCGCAACCTCCGACTTCAGCTCCGACTCCAGCTCCGACTCCACCGCGTCCTCTCCGACGGCAGTCGACGAAACGACCGATGGGCGAGCGAGGCGCCCATCTCAATTCAGCTTGCCACCAGAGATACCCGCATTGGAGAGGGCCCCGCACAATTGGAAATGGCCGACGACAGCGAAAGCATTTTTTAATTACCTCAGGGGGCGATGCGGCGATCGATGCGACGCCGTTCCTCTGGGAACTTGCCTGGGGGCCTCCACCAGCTCAGGGCGCGCTGTCACGCTCAGGCCGAGCCGGCTGGCGCGGCCACTCTTGCAGCCGAGGCGATCGAGAACGTGGGGCGCATGGAATCTAGCAGTACCTCCGCGTGGAGGATGCCCCTCTTACCGCGCCGCTGGCAGGCGCGATTTCCGGGCGCGGCCGGAAGGCGTTCAATTTGCGGAATGCCCCCCCCCCCCCCCCCCAAGCCGGTTCGGAAGGCCGGGGGGGCGAGGGCCCTGGAGGTTGACGATCTGATCCAGAATTGATGCCCGATGGGTGGCCACGGGGCCCGAGGAGAAGGAGGTCCAGGAGAGATGGGGCCACGGGTTTATCCCAGCACGGTTCGTGGCGACCGAGAAAGAGGAAGAAGGTTTCGAGAGTCGGGTCGGGGCCCGATGGCGTTTACGAGGGCGCCTGGACCCCGACCT